TGAGGTAGGCTGGGTCATGTAATGTAACCACTTGTGAGTACGATTTAGTTTTACTTAAGGGAGGGCTTCAACTTTAGTTCTCATACTTTGTATGGCTCTGAGTGTTTTGGCTCACCAAGCTGCTTTGAGACATTTCTATCAAAAGCTACATGCTCAAACTGATGATGATTGCTTTGAATTTCTTCATGGGGCTACTGTAGACCTCCCTGTGGGTGGAGATGAGGTTTATCCACCTCGCTCTCCTACTTGGTCATCACTGTCAGTATTATCTTTCGTCTCGAGCTGGCAATATTGATTCTAGTCCCCATCTCCAGTCGGTGGAGTTGGATTTGCCTCGTCAATCGGAAGCGCTGTGGGCCGCTTGTTCCTTTCATTATTACTTGTCTTTAGGCTCATATCGTATTTCAGTTCGCGTGTTGTTTGTCCCATTGCGGGTGGATCAGCATCACCTAGCAGTGGTGTGCTTGGACACCCACTTGGATCTCCTCGTGGCTCTTGTTCCACTGTTTTTCTGGACAATTCCGATGCTGACTTTGCCTTCGGAGTCCCCAGGGATGCGACAGATGATGAATATTCCCCCCCAGCCGTCTGTCACAAGAAGTCGCAAGCGTAGTGCAGTGCCTGCCATCGCATCTTTTCACCCCGTGAACGAGCCTTGCACACCTTTCGCTTACAGGGTGTACGTGCACGACATAATCGACCCCAATTCTCTCCAGATAGATGATGGGCAGGGGCGTACGCGCGTGTGATGTTTCTGATACATAGTTACAACTTGTCCACCGTCAAGATGGTGGTGTTAGATTTACGGTGTTCATGAAGCTCAAAGGACGAAAAATAGATGAGATCGAGCGTCAATTGAGATATACCGGGGTGTCCAGGCTCCTCCCGGCAGGGCCATAACCAAAGAATATAATATATTTATCCCGACTTATCCGATGTTATACAACAACCTTAAAATCACGGCTCCGAAAGATTTGCATTTTGGGAAGAGTCACTTGTGCTTTTGACACAGCTTACTGTTCTACCCTGCTATGCTTGCAAATTTTTGCACTTATATTGCATGTATACATACGGCCTATCTATCTGATCGGCAAGGTGATGTCATCTTTGTTGAGTTTCCTAGTTTCAATTACTGGCTGATGGTATTCCAGGGAGCCGATGGGGATGGCCACTGTCTTACCGATGTTGAGTTTGTGCTGGATGCTGCGCACCATTTGTCCAGAATAACCTGGAGATCCTCAAATTTATCTTCTGCCATGAGATATACCGTTGTATCATCGGCAAAAAGCTTCGTTATAACTCTGTCCAGTGCATTAGGGATCTTATACCCCTTCAGATGTGAGTTTCTGGGCATTCAAGCTAGCAGCTCAATTGCAAAGTTAAATAGCGGGCAGGACAGTGGGTCGCCTTGCCTCACTCCACGGGTTATTCTCCATGGTGAGCTCAAAACTCCATTTATCATTATTTGTGTCTCGGCGTCGCTATAGAGGCTCTGGATAATTTTTATGAAATGATCCGGGATTCCCTGCTTCTTTAGGACCCGCCATAGATAGTGGTGACATGTTTTGTGGTAGGTTTTCTCCTGGTCCAAGGCAACGATGACACTGTTTTAATTCCTCTTCGGAGAAAAATCAGGCCCGCCTGGCAAATTCGGATTTGTTATTGTAAAATATCACGAGTTCAGTGGAAAGAAGTACCACTGAGGATATCAAATGCCATGATTTAAATAGAACTCACCATTATGCATATAGTCCGAAACTTATCTTGGAAGCATGAAGTCCAAAAATTGGTTCCGAAGCGGCATGGTAGGACCCCGAGTCGAACTGCGCGTTGAAACCCATTTACACATACCCGATGTGCACCCTGCGCCTTCCTGCCCTCCGCCTACCACCCAGGTCTGCATAGACGTAGGAAAAATCAGGCCCGCCTGGGTTCGGATCTGTTAGTGTCCAATATCACGAGTTCGGCGGGAAAAGATCTCAACCGAGTGTGGAATTGACCCGTCACGCCCGAAGGAAATTAAAGAGGAGGACTACCGTGAATACCATGAAGCCTTTCTGGAAAAAAAAAATCCGCGAACGAACAACATGCGCCAGAAAATAAAAAATCAGTGCGAACGATAATAGAAGGGCAGGACCCCGAGTCGAACGGGGACCTTCGGGTGTATGTTTGGAACGAGAAAGGTAAACCCGATGCGCACCGTGCGCCTGCCTCCCTTTCTCACACCACCCAAGTCTGGATATATGTGGGAAAAATCAGGGCCACCTGGGTTCGCATTTGCTGGTATAAAAATCATGAGTCCAGGTGAGAAGCTCCACTGAGGAGAACAAGTGCCATAATGGATAGAACTCACCATTATAGTCCGAAACCTATCTTGGAAGTATGAAGTCAAAAAGAACGGCACAATGCAAGAAGAGCAAAAATTGGTTCCGACGTGGCATGGCAGGACACCGAGTCGAACGGGGACCTCCGGGCTATTGCGAGTTGAAACCCATCTTTACAAGCCCAATGCGCACCGTGCGCCTTCCTGCTTTATTTCTAGTATTCGGTACCTGGATAGATGCAAGCAAAATCACCCGGGCCCGCCTGGGTTCGGATTTGTTAGGTGTCAGTGTAAACAAAAAGTTCAATCGAGTCAAAAGGATCATCAGAGTGTGGAACTCGACGTGGATATCGCCACGTCCGTGCACAAAAAAGAAATGTACTGCTTGCATCGGAAAATAAATAAATCAACGCACAGCATGCAAATAGCAAGACCCCGAGTCGAACGGGGGACCTCGGGGGGTTGCTTTATCAGCTTGCGTGTGCAACAGAACCCAATGCGCACTGTGCGTCTTCCTGCCTTGCTCCTACCACCCAGTTCCTGGATAGATGTAGGCAAAATCACGCCGACCTGCGTTCAGATCTACCAGGGGAAAAAATCATGAGTCCAGGTGAGAAGCTCCACTGAGAAGAACAAGTGCCCTTGGAACTCACTATTACGCATGCATATAGTCTGAAGCCTATATGAGTCAAAAAGAATGGAGCAACGCAAGAAGAGCAAAAATTGGTTCCGACGCGGCATGGCAGGACCCCGAGTCGAACGGGGACGTTCGGGTTACACGTAACACACGCAGAGACAAGGTAAACCCGATGCGCACCGTGCGCTTTCCTGCCTTATTTCTAGTATTCAGTTCCTGGATAGATGTAGGAAAAATCTGGCCCGCTTGCGCTAAGATTTGTTAGTGTAACAGAAATATCAACCGAGTGTGGAAAGAAAAAATCAGTAGAGCGTTGCATCCTGTGAATATCGCCAAGCCTTTCCGGGGGGAAAAACATCTGCGAATGAACAGCATGCATCAGGAAATAAATAAATAAATAAAAGAACTGCGTGGTTACGATCGCGAATGGCAGGACCCCGAATCGAACGGGGACCTTCGGGTAAACACCTAAGCCGACTCACCAATATATACCCGAAGCGCACCCTGCGCCTTCCTGCCTTATTTCTAGTATTCAGTTTCTGGATAGATGCTGAAAAGTCAGGCCCGCCTGAGTTCAGATTTGTTGGTGTCAAATATCACGAGTTCAGTGGGAAAAAAAGCTCAACCGAGTGTGGAATTGACCGTCGCGCCGCAAGGAGCAGCAGGACTACTGTGAATATCGTGAGGTCTTTCCGGAAACAAAAAATTCGCGAACGAACAGCATGCGCCAGAAAATTAAAAATCACTGCGAACAAAACTAGAAGGGCAGGACCCCGCGTCGAACGGGGGCCTTCGGGCTATCGTTCATGAAAGGGTACATAAACCCGATGCGCACCGTGCGCCTTCCTGCCTTCCTCCTACCACCTAGGTCCTGGATAGACGCAGGCAAAATCACACCGACCTGCATTCAGATCTACCAGGGGAAAATATCACGAGTTCAGTGGAAAGAAGTTCCGTTGAGGATAAGAAGTAAATAGAATCCACCATTTGCGCCGCAATGATGCAGGGAAGAATGCATGTAGTCCGAAGCATATCTTGGAAGTATGAAGTCAAAAAGAACGGCGCAACGAAAGAAGAGCAAAAATTCATTCGCGATCGCCGAATGGCAGGACCCCGAGTCGAACGGGGACCTTCGCGTTGCTCAATAGCTAGATATCCATGTACAGAAGCCCAATGCGCATCCTGCGCCTTCCTGCCTTATTTCTAATATTCAGTTCCTGGATAGATGTAGGAAGATTCAGGCCCGCCCGCGTTCAGATCTACCAGGGGAAAAAATCACGAGTTCAGTGGAGAGAACTACCACTGAGAAGAACGAGTGCCCTAATGGAACCCACCATTATGCAGGCATATAGTCTGAAACCTATCTTGAAGGTATAAAGCCAAAAAGAATGGAGCAACGAAAGAAGAGCAAAAAACCCCACTGTCATTTATGAACGGCTGGACCCCGAGTCGAACGGGGACGAAGGGGTTATAATTCACGAATTGGCGCACAAACACCCGATGCGCACCGTGCGCCTTCCTGCCTTCCACATACCTCACAGTTCATGGATATATGCAAGAAGAATCAGGCCCACCTGGGTTCGCATTTGCTGGTGTAAAAATCATGAGTCCAGGTGAGAAGTTGCACTGAGAAGAAGAAGTGTCCCATGGAACTCACCAATATGCATGCATATAGTCCGAAACCCATCTTGGAGGTATGAAGTCAAGAACGGCGCAACGAAAGAAGAGGAAAAAAGCATTCCTACCGCCGAATGGCAGGACCCCGAATCGAACGGGGACCTTCGGGTAAACACATGAGCCGAATCACCAATATATACCCGATGCGCGCCCTGCGCCTTCCTGCCTTATTTCCAGTATTCGGTACCTGGATATATGCACGAAGAAAATGAAGAGTCTTATCGGGCATCAAGATACAAGTAGGAATCAATGGAATGTGGAGCTGACCCGTTGCGTTGGCTGAATATCCGCAAGCTCAGGAAGAAATTGCCTGCAGGAGAAGGGGAATATAATATATATAAAAAGGCCCAGAAACACACGATATGGCAGGACCCCGAGTCGAACGGGGACCTTCGAGTTGCTTATTGAACCGAATGATTGCGAAAGAACCCAACGCGCACCTTGCGCCTTCCTGCCTTACTCCTACGACCCAGGTCTGGATAAATGTAGGACAAATGAGGCCCACCTGGGTTCGGATCTACCAGTGGAAAAATCACGAGTTCGGTGGAAAGAAGTTCCGCTGGGGATACCGAGTAAATAGAACTCTGCGCCGCAACGATGCATGTAGTCCGAAGAACGCCGCCATATAGTCCGAATTTCTAAATCTACATATCTTGAAAGTATGAATTTAAAAAGAATGGTGCAACGAAAGAAGAGCAAAAAACTTCCACAATGGATTTCAACGGCTGGACCCCGAGTCGAACGGGGCCTTCGGGCTATCGCGTATGAAACAAACCTACACAAACCCGATGCGCACCCTGCGCCTTCCTGCCTTCATCCTACCACCCAGGTAGGCAAATTCGGATTTGTCAATGTAAAATATCATGGAGTCCATGTAAAAAATTCCATTGAGAAGGACAAGTGCCATAATGGATGGAACTCACCATTATGCATGCATATGGTCCAAAACCTATCCTGAAGATATGAAGTCAAAAAGAATGGAGCAACGAAAGAGCAAAAAACGCTAATGTCATTTATAACGGCTGGACCTCGAGTCGAACGGGGACGTTCGGGTTACTTGCGTGTGAGACGGAACACAAACCCGATGCGCACCGTGCGCCTTCCTGCCTGTTAGATTCTTGCTTAGGGGACGAAGAAAAAACGAGGAGGAGCAGGAGAATTCCGCGTTTCCACTGGTAAGCGGTATGTCGAACAAAGGGTAAACAGTGGATCGCAAAGATTCAAGTAAAGACAGCGCGCGCCCTACCCAATCCTGACGTCGTTTCCAGCTACTCGGACGACGAGTTTGAGATGATGCGAGAGAGCAGCCGGCATTTCCCGGATGACCAATCAGCTTTGAGCTCAACCACAATACGACGCAATCTAGTCTCTCTTAGACAGGCTTTAACGATGAAGCTCCTGCAAGTGGGTTCTACTGGGGATACCACGTCTTTGGAGTTCTGCTTGAGGCTGCATCAGCATCACCCCGATTCGCCGCTCCAGCTTTCCTTCGCTTCTCCCCGTCTCCCTCCTTCCGCGTCTGCCCTGCCCCATTACTACTGCATTCACTGACGGCTCCCCGCTCTCCCTTTCGCCCCGTCTCGGACCCTCATGGCGGAATCCACGCACCGCACATACGACGTCCGAATATCCGCCCGCGCAAATAACAAAGCGCGTATTCAATTTTTCTGTACAGAGTTACAGGCATGCTAATCACAATACTTCCAGACCGTGCCGTCTAATACATACCGCTGCGCCTCTGCCACCGCAGCGCCGTCCCTGAATCTGGATGAACGCGGCTGGCCTCGACAACGCGGTCCCAGTATGACCGCTGTCTTTGAATCTCGATATGCGGGGTTTGAGGCAGGGGGCATCACAGCTTCATGCATTAGTATCCGCACTGTGAAACCTTCGCCGCGTCCGGGCGCATCACCACGGCGCGGACGCGTATGTAGCCTGCCGCACCTCGCGTACACCGCGCCCGCGAGTCCGATCCCACTGTCGCTGCCTGCGCGCCTTTGCTGTGTCCTGGCGTATGTTCATGGCATGGCCTCCGCCATGCTTTTGTCGCCCCACGCCCTGCGCTCACCATGCACGGGCGATGAAAGGCGCCGTGGTGTCTGTGGCACGGGTTGAGGGGTGCGTGTGGAGTGGGATGTCGCCCGCCCGCCGCCGGCGCCGGCGTGCACCGCATCCGCCCGTGTGCAGTGCGCCACCGTCGTGCGCAGCGCACCCGCTGCCCTCGCGCACCGAGTCTGATCCCACTGTCGCTGGCGGCGCGCAACGCCTTGGTTGTGCCAAGGCGCACCACCACGACCCGGGAGCGAGCCTGTCCGCCGTACGCTCCCGCACCCGCGAGTCCGATCCCACTGGCGCTGCCTGCGAGTCTGATCCCACTGGCGCCGCCTGCATGCTGTGTCCGAGCGCGGGGGATGTGCTCCTCCGCAATCCTTTCACTGCGTAATGTGGTGCGTGTGGAGCATCGGCCACCGTCATCGTGCACTGCATCCGCCTCTGTCACCGCGTCCGGTCCCATCGTTCCGCCTTTGCCCGCCTTCGCCGTGTCCGAGCGCGGGGGATGTGCACCTCCGCCCTTTTGTCGCGCTGCCCACCACGTAACTTGCCCGCCGTATGCTCCTCCTTGGGCACACCGCACACTGCGCCCGCGCCCGCGACTCTTATCCCACTGTCGCTGCGCGCTCCGTCTCCACGCAGTGCCATGGCGCGAGGCCTCTTGGGCACACCGCGCGCGAGCGAAGCAGGGCGCCGTGGTGTCTGTGTCGCGAGTGGGGTTGGGAGCGCGTGTGGAGCGAGCGTCGTATCTTCCTCCGTCCGTCATTACGCCCATACACCGCTGCGCGTGCGACGCCCGATCGTGCGAAGAAGCCGAACTTCGTGGGGTGCTTGCGCATCAGATCGGCCGCGTGCTCGTTTCATTTCCCTTGTGGCTCGTACACCGCGGCCCGGCGACGAGGGGTGGGCGGGAGGCCGTGTCGGAGAAGTCGGGCGGGAGAAGCCGAACTTCGTGGGGTGCTTGCGCTTCAGATCCGGCGCGTGCTCGTTTCATTTCCCTTGTGGCTCGTACACCGCGGCCCGGCGACGAGGGGTGGGCGGGAGACCGTGTCGGAGGCGACGACGGGTAGGCGGACGTGGTGGGGAGTCAACCGCCACCGCCGAGGAGAGGGGTGTATATGTTTTGAATGGACGTGGGGTACGACGTTCGAGGGAGAGCGGGGGGGACGTGACATTCGAGGGAGGGCGAGGGGGACACGACGGTCGAGTGGGGACGGGCTCGACTTTCGCGCGGTGCGCGGGCGGCGGGTATGCGCATGATGATGTGAGATGTCGGCGTGCAGGCGTGGTCGTGTGAGACGGAGCGGGTGGTGCGGCGGGGACGCCGCATCTTCCTCCGATCGACCCGGCCGCGCTGCGTACGATCGAGGGGGCGGGTAGGGATGCGCGTGGGGTGAAGACACTCGTGCGGCGACTCAGTGCGAATGCGCGCGGGGGAGGGGGGGGCGTGGGGTACGACTTTCGCGCGCGAGGTGTGCTCATTGTGGTGCGTGCGCGGCGGGTATGCGCATGATGATATGGGATGTGGGCGTGCGAGCGTGGCTATGGGCGATGTGGGAGTGTGGGCGGCGGAGTGGGTGCAACGTACCCCGTTCTGCTTCTGGGTGCGGCGGGGGGGTTGACTTCCGGTGCGCTCGATCTCGGCCCTTCACTATATCGCTGACAGCGTCTCTGAGCAGCTCTGCGTATCCATCGTTTATTAGTACCGCGTTTAGGGCGTACACCGTGAGGTGCGCTCAAGCCGCCCGTCTACGATTCCGCGCGTACCCACCAGGTGCATGCTCAATCGCGTGCGTTCGCTCTCGGTGCTGCTTTGGCTCTCCGAGCTACACTTTCGCCCCACACGCGCAGCACGGGATCGACACCTCGCATACTTCTCGTCCACCCACCGAGCAATTTGTCCTCCATTCATATTTTGTCGTCCATCCCCGCCTCCTTCCTCTACGCCATTTACTTAGCCATTCCTCCCTCTACTTCCGTTCTGTTCTTTCGCTTCGACCACCTCCGTCGTCAGTGCCCCTTCTCACCCCTTCGCCCCCCCGCTCCCGATCCCAGATCCTCGGCCCTTCCATCCCCGTCCTCCCTATTCTACGTGCCGCCGTCCTCACGAATCACTCCCCTCTTCGACCCCTTTCCCCTTCTTTCGTCTTGTCTCCTCCCGTGATCTCGAGATACGTCGCCCGCCTGCTCCTGGTACCCGTGGTGAGAGGTCAGAGTGCGCCCGGGAGGGGGGGGGACTACCCCGAGCCTTGGAAGCAGAAGCTGCGCTGGTACGACCATCGGCGCACGCGACGAGCTGTCTTCCCCGCACCCTGGAGCTGGAGGTCGGGGATAGCAGCTGGCGTTGCGCCTCCTTGTCGAGTTGCATTTCCCTCGCGTGTCGCAATGTCTTTTATTATTATTGTTTTCTGTCGTGTATGCGGGCACGGACAGTATCGTGACGCCGGTGTGTCGGTCTAGTTTCAGATCCGGTGGCCCTAGGGACACTACCAGTAGTACCGCCGAGCGATTGCGCAACGCATCCTCTAGCGTGCGCCGTTATTCGGCCAATCTCTATCATTCTATTCCTTCCCCTCCAGCCCATCTCCTTCCCGCGGACGGGGAATCCGCTTTTCTGCTCAACGGCTCTTACTATCTACCTTTTTTCATCTTCGTTTCCCGTGGTTTGTGTCTTTGTTGCTTGTGTGGGCGGTCGTCGATTTCCCTCTGGTTTCCTCAGGGACAGGTCCCACTTCCTTCCGCCGCCAGGGAAGGAAGCACATCGTCGCCTCCGGCCGCTCAGATTTCTAGCTTAGGGAGGAATCGAGTGGATGATATGCACGGCATACGATTGTAAAAATCGAATCGATGCTAGTGCGCTGCTAGTATTTCGCGAGCGAGCAGTGAAATGACTTTCAAACCCACTCCGTGCATATGCAGGACCTGGATAGTGCAGACAAGGCAGGGAGACGCAAGGTGCGCGCCGGGTCGCCCGTTCGAAGGCGTGATACTTGCATAATAGCCCGGAAGTCCCCGTTCGATTCGGGGTCCTGCCATTCATTGAGGAGGTCCCGGGTTTTTTTTTTGGTCCTGCGCAGGACCTGGGCAGTAAAACACAGGCGAGGGTGCGCGTCGGGAGTTAAGCTATTTAAGCCCGATGCGCACCGGGAATTGAAGCAGCAAGGATGAGAGAGCGAAGATTCGAGATAATGGCGGCGGGCCTCGTCATTAATGCGCTCTGTGTCTTTGCTTCTGTTTCCATCCCTTCTCATCTCGCGACCGCCTGACTTATAATACCATACCGTAGACTCTTCAGGTGGCTCTTTCTTCGATTTCTCTGGTGATAACTTTTCAGTGCCTAGCGAAGTGAGCGATTCGTAAGTTTAGCTAGTATTCCAACACGGATCAGGTAGCAGTCCAACTCA